ATTTGACTATTAAGTAACTATTAAGTGGCAATTAAGTAGTGATGTTTATAAAAATTGGGCAGTTTCAGCAATGTATTTGTGGATAGTTCTAATTCATATGTGTATTCTGGTTTCTTTTTTATTTTCTTAGGTCTTTCTTTTTCTCTTTAATTTTTGTTGGACTTTTTTTTATATACTCCTATTTCTTTTTCTTTGATGTTTGTTCTTGTTGTCACTATTCCCTCTTTATTTGGTTTTAACTATTTCTTTTCTTGCATTTTTATATTTTGTTCTTGCTCTTCTATTTCTTTATATGCTTCTTTCTTCTTTTCTAATTTCTTTTCATCTCTAATTATTTCCTTTTCTTTTTCTTCTAAGTCTATATTTACTATTTGCACTTGTATTCTTTTTAATTTTCCTTTGTTCAAACTTTTGGATCTTTCTAATTCTTTTTTTATAAAGATGGTTGCTTTGATTCTGACTTTTCTGATAACAGCTATTGTTTTTCTTTTTGTGCTTAATATTAATACTTGGTTAATAATCATTTTCCCCTTTACTTTCTTGTCAATTTCTTTTAAAATTTCCTTAAAAAATTAATTTTTTTTAATTTTTCAAAATATGGAAAAAAGTTTTTTTTTTTAAAAAAAAAAAAATAATATATTAGTATATTAATTTAAAATTTTATTAAATTAGTTTTCAATATTAAATAAAGAATATACAATGTATTGTATAATAATATAATATACTTTAGAAGAAAATTATAATTATAGAAAATATAAGCTTAATAATAATTGCATATTATTATTATTAAAAAAAAAATTATACAAATTGATTAAATAAAATCTTATCAAATAAAAGAATTAATAAATATTACTGTTTCAAAATCAAATAAGAAAAAATATAATGAAAAAAATATAATTTATTAAGTCACCCAATTATATTCTTTATTATAATTATATAATATCTAAATCAAAATAAACTTTTTTTAAAACTTGTTATAAATTCAAATATTATTTCAATAAAAACAATATTAAATAATTATATATAATTCAAATTGTAAACAAAAATATTACAGATTATAACTTTTTAAATAAAATATATGACTATAACAAAATTTTAGAAATATTAATTCTTACAATCTTTAGATATTTGAGAAACAAGTGTTTATTATTTTAAAAACAATTAATTATACAAGACAAGATAAATTACGAGAGGTATTAATAGTTAATTGAAATATAGAATGATTAGTCAAATAATAAAATCTGAAGATTATAAAACAAATCTTATAAGTTCTTTTAATAACAAATTTATAATAATATCAGATCACAATTATACAATATATTTATATAAGTTTTTTACAGATAACTTTTTATTAAACAGAGAAATGAAAAGAAAAGAAATTAAAATGAATATTTTCATATTATTTCTATAAATTATATTTAAAAATTTTGTATTGTTAACAGATATTCTTATATTTGTAATAATTTGATAAATATATAACTTCAGTCTAATTGCAGATTACAAAAAATAGAAAATAAGTTATCTAAAACTCAAATATCTTTAACAAATTTTAAAAATACTTTTTTTACTTTTATTTGAACAAACTTATATTGCTTATATACTTGTTTCAATTAAATACTATCAATAAGATAAATTCTTTAGATGAAATGAAACAAATAGATTAAATAGATTAAATATAGTTAATTATTAATATTAAACATTAATTTTTATGTATTGTAAAAAACTTTTAACACAATATTTCTTTAAAGAATCCGATTATATTTGAAACTCAATAAGACATAATTAAACAGTTTTTTAACATTATATTAAAAAATATATTTATAAATTATATATTTTCTTTATTACAAAAATATTGTCTAAGTCTATCTAGTTAAATGTTGAATATAAGTCCGACTAAATTTTGAATCATGAGTTTAATGCCTCGAGTGTATCATAATCAAGAAGTGAATGTTTTTTTAGAAAGATAACAGATGATTGTCATTATGGCAAACTATTTAATCCAGGAATTAACTTTTACCCAGAAGGCTTTCAGTTCTCTTTCAAAGTAATCGAACAAATAAAATAAAAAAACATTCTTATTTACATAATCCTTGATGATTACATTGATTCCATTTTTTCCGCAATGAGTACACAATGTAGTAAACATTGTAGAATAGAGAGCATGTGATCCTGATACGGATACAAAATTCATTAATATCACATGCACGACTAATACCTTTTCCCTTAAGTTAATGAAAGTATTCCTGTCAAAAAGATTTTTTAAGAAAAATTTTGTTATAATTAAATATTTTTGTTCTGATTTACAAAATATAATGTTACATTAAGAAAGTGATCTTAAATAATAAAAAGGAATGAGCCAAAAGTGTCCTTTTAATGATGGCACTAATTACATGTTACATGTATCTATCATTTGCAGAAAATCCTACGGCACCTAACGCCCCGGACTCGGAGCTTAGCTCACTATTGTTCCGATAATATTCCTTGAGTTGACCAACTCCACCAGCATTACTATTTTCTGACGAGATGCCGCTGCCCGCAGAAGTTCCACTCGTCGAATGACTATCGTATAGATCATTATTATTTTCCCATATTCGCTTGTTATTTGATAACGAGGTTTCAGCTCGTCTATTGGTTGACGGCGGAGACAACGACTGTACTCTTGTAGAATGATTTTTATTAACGTAATTAGCGGGTGGTGATGCGAGATGTGGTTGAGGTCGAGACACATGAGAATTTTCGCTATGTTCTTCGACATTCGAAACATCCAAAAGACTAGAATTTTTAGATGTTGGCTGAGGAGAAGGCGAACGAACAGCAATTGAAGGATTCGGATTAGGTGAAGGGGGGAATGAGGAAGGAGGTGTAACAGTATTGTATATTTTGGGGGGTGTTTGTTGAATTCGCGGTGGCGGGGTTAATGAAGAGGTCGCCTGCGTTGCTGATGAAAAGGAGGAACCTCCTTTGTGATTCTCTGAAGTTATAATGGATGGTACAGGCGAGGTGTATCCTGTGGGGAATTGCTTTGTTGAAACGATGTCTGAATCATTGGATGATACTATTGGGCTTGATCTTCCATTGATCGGAACTGGACCCAACGTAAACCCAGACATTTTCCCGACATCACGATTTTGAGATGACGTTGGTCTTTCACTTAACCATTCACCTTTTGTTTTTTCCTTGTTTTTATGTTCTTTTTGTTCTTCCGAGAGTCCCACAGTGGTCAAATCCGATTCTGTACGTGCATGCATTAATTTTGCTGATGGTGGACGAGTTGGCAAAGTGGATGCATTTGTATCCATGCTAAAATTTGGATTTGTATTTGACGAATTAGTTGCTATGCGATCAACTGCTGTAGAGCTGCCACTGCTTCTACTTTCACTTTTTCGCCTTAATCTTTTCTCGGTAGAAGTCATTTGGGGATTGTAATAGCTTCTCCGACACATCTTTGTGAAATCGTATATCAAGAATTTTTCTTCCATCATTCTCACTTCTCTGGAAAGCTCACTGAGATCTTGGTTGGGGTTTGCACGCTTTTTGGCTTTGAGTGGATTGTCTTCAAGCAGTAACTCCTCAAGTTCATGAGTAGCATCAAAATTAGCTCTTTTGGGCTAGAAAAAAATCAGGTGTTAGATAAACCTATCCAACTTCAAAGAATACAAAAAAGGTCATTAAACTTACATCTGGGATGAATGGTGCTTTTGCCTGTTTTACAACGAGTTTATCCCACTCTACGCCTTTAAACCATGGATGACGCTTGATATCCTCCAAACCGTTTGGCCCACAACCAATACGTTTTGATATGTCTCGTTCACATAACTATAAGTTTTGAGGTAAACCCAATTATACGTATATGTCGCAAAAATAAAAACGTCTAAATATAAAAAAAATTCTTTCTTACTCGTTTTAAAAAATCTATACATTCATCGGAAATCATCTCTCGAACATTCTCCGGAAAATGCAAGGAATCATTCAAAATTGCATGAGTCAAGGCGGCATTGGTCTTTCCACGGAATGGGCGCTAATAAAGAAACAATCACATTTCAGAACTATATTACACGAATTATATAGTAAACTTTAAAGCATTCATTATATTACCTTACTGAAAAGAAGTTCATATAGCACTATGCCAAGAGACCACCAATCCACCGAGTCAAAATATCCTTTCTTGGAAAGTACCTCTGGAGCTAAATATATAATATTTTTAATAATAAATACAAGGATCTTGGGACGATCTTTTGATGCACTTACCCATATAAGCCATCGAACCTGCAACTGATGTAAGGGGCTTCCTCTCGTTGAAATGAACGGCTATATTGAAATCTGTTAAATGTGCATGTCCTTTTTCATCTAAGAGAACATTATCAGGCTTTAGGTCCCTGTACATAAAAGTTAAATCCATCAATATGCAAAATACAACATTACGATAGAAGTAAAATTACCGGTGTTCATAAATTGGACTTAAAAAAAAAATACCTATGAACAATTTTTTTAGAGTGTAGGTAGGCCAACCCAAGACTGATTTCAGCAGCATAAAATTTCACAACTTCTTCCTTCATATTCCCCTGTCTTTCCAGGTGGAATCTTAAATCGCCCCCCAACATTAAATCAAGGACCATAAACATGTTATCGTCATCTTGAAAAGCGTATCGCAAATTGCACACCAATGGATAATCAATCTCTTCTAATAACCGGCGTTCTTGTATAATGTTTTCTACTGCGCGCATTTTTATGCATTTTGACTTGTTAATGTACTTGAGAGCATACAGAATTTTTGAATTTTTGTGTTGCACAACGCGAACCTAGTATTCGACGAAATAGCGTTATTATTGGAAGATGAAACTCTATCCTAATAAACATTTGAAAGACGAACCTTTCCAAAAGCACCTTTCCCCACGGATCTCAATAAATGAAAATGAGATAACTCAACTGCAAATAAGAAATAAGGAAAATTTAGATAAGATTTATAAAGAATAAAATATTCTTAATGTTCTTCGAAACTACAGAGAATTATGGCTTGTGTTCTTACCTTCGGCGTTGAAATCAATTTCCTCCTCTTTACAACAACAAATACCCATTTTATAGATTATGCTAAGACTATAATTAGGGAACTATTAGATTTGTTTTCTATGCACAGACTGTTTCTTGTCCATATAACGTGAAACTAGTATAATAACAACTAAAGAATTGTATGGTGAGAGATATTTTTCGAATAGAGGGTATATAGAACAACGGCCCGCCGGAATGATATATTACAAAAGTATTGAGAGAAACTACGATCGTAAGTTACGAAGTTTCAGAAATTTAAATAATATAGTGCTATTCAAAAAAGAGTGGACAATCAAGTAAAAGAAGAGAGGCGTGAAGGATAAAGATAGGTGAGAGATTTTTTTTTTTTGGTGGAGAAGGAAACCCTCTTTTCTTGTTTGTAAAGTTGTGAAATTTTGAATGCAAAGACACCGGTCGTATGTGGTTACCATTATGAGTAATCGCAATATATTATAATTAAACGTTTGACTAAACTAAACTCAACGCATCCGACATAAAGAAAATAGAAATTGGTGAGACCTCGTGTAGGACAATCCATAGAGCATAAGAGGAAACGATTATTGAAATGATTGATGCACAAGAGAACACCTTATTTTTTAATTTACTTAATGATTGGTTCTTTATGTCGAATAACAATTCTTTATTCCTGAAATGACTCCCAAATTT